CCTATGCCTTCTCTTTTTCTCTTAGCCTAGCTAAACGTTTGTCAGTTTACATTTTCAAAAACAAACACAATTTCAGTGATTATTTTTATTGTTTTCTCAATCTCGACTTATTTTAACTGCTATGCTCTTTATTTTGTCTTTCTTCTGCTAACTTTGGGCTTAGCTAGTTCTTATTTTTCTAGTTCCTTAAAGTAACATTAATCTGGTTATTTGAGATCTTTCTTCTTTTTTATTTAGGTGTTTATTGCTATAAATTTCCTTCTTAGAACTATTTTTGCTGTATTCCATAGATTTGGTATTTTATGTATCCATTTTAATTAACTTCTGTCTCTGTCTGTCTCGGTGTCTGTCTGTCTCTGTAGTTTATCTTTTTTGTTTGTTGGCAAGGTCTTTTCATATTGCCCAGGCTGGCCTTGAACTTGCAATGCTCCACTCTCAGTCTTTAGGAAATGGGATAACAGTGCACCACTACTATACAGCTTCAATATGTTTTTTAATTTCTTCTTTGTCCCATTGGTTATTCAGGAGCATGTTAATTTGTATGTATTCGTAAAGTTTCTGAAATTCTTCCTATTATTAATATTTAGTTTCATAACATTGTGGTTGGAAAAGATACCTGATATGACTTTAGTCTTAATTTGTTAAGACTTGTCCTTGACCTACCGTATCATCTAGCATGGCGAATGTTGAAAGGAATGTTCTATGTGTATGTCTGTTACATAAGTTCATTTGGTCTCAAGAGTAGTTTTGGTGGTTTTTGAGTTTGGTGTTTTGTTTTGTTTTGTCTTGTTTTGTATTTTACGATGTTGAGGATTGAACCCAGGGCCTTGAAAACATGAGGCAAGGCTCTACACGTTGAGTTACATCCTCAACCCAGGTAAAGTGTAGTTTATGATGTTTCTTGATTTTCTGTCTGGATAATCAGTCCATTGCTGAAAATGGGGTACTGAAGTCATTTGCTAGTACTATATTGCAATCTACTCCTCCCTTCAGTTCTATTAATATTTGTTTTATATATTGAGGTGCTTCAATGTTGAATATATATTTTTATATAATATATATACATATATACAGAGGTGCTTCAATGTTATATATATATACACACTTGATTCCTCTTGATGAAGAATTGAGCCCTTTATCATTAAATAATAACCTTTTCTTGTTTTACAATTTTTGATTCAAAGTCTAGTTTATATCAGATATAAGTATAGCAACTCATGTTCTCTTCTTGTTTCTATTTCTATTTGCAAGGAGTATCTTTTTCCATCTTTTCTCTTTTAGTTTATGTGTGTTCTTATGGATAAAGTGAATCTCTTGTGGACAGCATACAGTTGGGTCTTGGCATATTTTTTCTTCAGTTCAACTGCTCTGTATCTTAATTGGTGAATGCATTATATTCAAGGCAATTATTGATAAGGACTTACTACTGTCATTTTATTATTTTCCAGTTGTTTTGTAGGTTATTTATTCCTTCCTTCTATGCTTGCTTTCTTGCTTTTTTCCTTTGTGAACAAATGATTTTCTCAGGGTGTATGTTTTGATTCCTTACTTTTATATTGCAGGTATCCACTATAGATGTTTTCTTTATGATTACTATCAGTTATATCAAAGAATCTTATAGTTTAAAAACCCTGTTTTAAGCTGATAATAACTAAAGTTTGATCACATGAATATGTTCATACTTTTACTCCATCCCTATACCATATTTTAAATTTCTAATGTTATATCTCTTATGTTATGTAGTTTAATAGTTAAAAACTATTGTAGCAATTATTTTTAATGCTTGTTTTTAGCCTTTATACAAAAGATACAAGTGATTTTACATACCACCACTACAGTATTAGAGTATTGTGATTTTGACTGTGCACTTACATTTACCAGTGAGCTAATGCTCCGTATGTTTTTGTGTTACTAATTAGCATCTTTTTCTTTCAGTTTGAAAAACAATCTTTAGAATTTCTGAACAGCTCAGATTTTGTCTAAGATTGAACATTTTTGATTAAATTTTAGTTTTAAGATAAAAATAAAAACAATAAGCAGTAATTTTCTGCTATGCAGTTAAAAACACTTTCTAATTTGATCTTCACCATTAGGTAGATTAAGGTAGATTAGTTAAGGTTAGATTAGTTAGATTAGATTAGTTAAGGTAGATTTAATTACCAATTTTCAGAAGATGATGCTAGGCCTCTTTGGGATTAAATAGGTCTTCCAAAATCAATTAGCCAATGAAAACTGGACTAACATAAATAGAATCTATTAAACAAAGTATTTTGAATATGAAACATATATAATCATAAAATCTCAGTGTCATAATTTCTATAACTATCACTGCTTTATAAAAGACAAAATTTGGCTAACCAAACAACTGTCACATTAAATAGGAACATTTTATATGTTCTTTATGCTGTTTCTTGTCATTTCAGAAATGGACTGCACTCAAGTGGCCTGACTCCCTCCCTCACTGGAATTTTATTGGGAAGCCCTTGTGCACTGAAGCACCACAGTGTCCAATAGTTTCTGCAGCAGAGACTGACCTGAAAATCAGGAAGATCCTGGAGAAACTGGACCAGCTGATCCCACTCAGACCCTTCACCTACATGAACACCACTACCAGTGCCAAACATAGCAAAGCTACCATCCTCAACCCTCAAGATACATACTGCCAGGGGGACCAGCTGGATGTCCTGCTGAAGATGAGGGACCACCTAGGACAGAGGAAGAAATATGGCGGGGACTTCCTGAGGGCCAGAATGTCCTCTCCAGACCTGAAAGCAGGTGCATCAGGGAATGTGACAGACTTCAATAATGGCACTTACCTTGTCAGCTTCACTCTGTTCTGGGAGGGCCAGGTCTCCCTGTCTGTGCTGCTCATGCACCCCAGTGAAGGGGCATCAGCTCTCTGGAGGGCAAGAAACCAAGGCTATGACAGGGTGATCTTCACAGGCCAGTTTGTCAATGGCACTTCCCAGGTCAATACTGATTGTGCTCTGGCTTTAAACTCAAGTGCTGAACTGTGCAGATACCTGAATGCTGAAGACCAAGAAGCTTTCTACTGTGTGAGACCTCCACATATTTCCTGTGCTGCACTTACCCACATGCATTCCAAGAACAAGGACGTTTCCTATCTTACCCAACAAGAGAGAACCCTCTTTGAAAGGTAAATAATTATTGTTGGTGACTATCTGAGCAAATACGGTTTTTGCCTGATATGGCAATCTAAAGAAAAGTCCTGTAATTATATCACCTGTGATACTCTGTACGTAGTCATTTGAGAAAGGAACTGTGGATTCATTCGGAGACAGGGCTTAGCCTCCCGAAGGCCCCAAATGTTTTGGATATTTCATTCTCACTAATGAAATAAAAAATATAGGCAGAATGAAAACTAAAAGTGAGTAAGAAATGCAGAGTCTGTCCCCCAAGAATATATATATCAGGAAAAGAAAAACTTGTATAAATATTTTAACACTAAATGTATTGAGACATCATGAGATTAATACAAGTTACCATTGGCCTCTACAATTACAAGACGTGCTCAAAGTGGTGTCTATTAGCTTCCAGACATTTATTAGTACAGCAAACTGCTGAAGTGTGTATACTTTTTTTGGCAGACTGTATATGTGTGTGCTCTGAAATATGATCTCTCCCTCTCAATAAATCACCTTGAACACCATCTGAGTAACTATATCCTATGAAATAATGGGCAAAGAAATGGAAATTTACTAAATGATATGAATATGTAGACACAGCAACCAGCTTAACAAGAAAGAGTAGAAGCATTGGATAATCTGCCTTGTTTCCTGATTTAGGGGTACCTGCATATTAATTTCTATATTGTCTCTCTAAGGTCAAATGTGGGTGTGGAGATTATGGAAAATTCCAATGTCATTCATGTTACAAAATGCAACAGTAAGTACTCTGTGTTTGCTGGGTGCTTAGTACTAGACTCAATCAAGGCCTTTCTCTTCTTGCTGAGTTTTTTCACCTTTTAGTTATATCAGCACTCTATTCTTCTATTGTGTCTAAGGTCAGGCAATGTATCAAGTACCTAAGTGAGTGAGTGATTAGAATCACTAAAACACATTTGTGTAACCTATTCAAGTAACTATATCTCTCATCACCAATCTACTTAGCAGGTAACTGATTACCTGCTCATCTTATACAACAACTTATGAATGTTAAAACACTCTCCCAGTTCTTTACCTGCTTACACTACCACTATCACTACCTCCCACATTCCTTATAGCCCAAGAATCACTATCTAGAGGGTTCCCACCTGACATGTAGGAGTCAATTCTCACCCTGAGTCTGTCACGTTTCAACTTTAACATACAATGTCGAACTTCCACATTTATATTTATTATTATTTTTTATTACTTGACTCTAAACAGCCCAGGGAAGTCTCATCTAAAATGATTGAAGGAAACATCTATATCTACATCAGTTCAGCATTAAAATCTTGTGAATTGTTAACATACTTGTCCTCATTAAAGTATATGCACTGAAATGTGGAAATAATATTTTCACCACAGATAAATGGGTAAGCTCATCCCAGTTGTTGAAATACTAAACTAGTCTCTTTGGGTGATGAATAATCACTGCCTCAAACCTGTCACATCACCATCTCAGCACCTCAGCTCTTCCTATGCCAGTGACTGAGTATTTAATACCTAACCTCCAAACCCACACACATATGCATTCATATTGGCAAGTTTCCAAGCAATCTATATTATATCATCCTGCCTTTTACTCAAAAAATATATAGTTCGATAGTGGCATTTAAGACACTGTGATAGTGTGTGACGAACCCAGGGACAAACTGGGTTAAAATGATAGGATGAATAAGCTTACATTTACTTTGAAAGAATTGATGATCATACTTTTAAAGCAATGCTGAAAAATACTTAAATTTTACCAGAAGGCCATTTTTTTGCTGTGTGCTCTTATAATGACTGTTAATGGGTATCAGCTAGGAAACTAACATTACAGAAAATTTTTTCTGAAAACTAGCTGTTCCATTATGAAGATGCTGCGATATGGCTTTTTCCTCCACCACCACCACTTTTGCCCCCTATTAAGAGGATACTTTGGGAAAGACAGATGTCTTTCAATAAATACTAATGGATAATTTGATGTTTTAGAAGATCCTATCTTGCTGATTTTTTTGGCAGCAAAAACAATCCCGATGAAAGAGAAATGCAAGCCTGGAATGCTATCCACAATCCCCAGTGGACATGTCTGGAAATACACATGGAATCCTGTCTCCTGCAGTTTGACTGCAGTCGAAATGAAAGACTGCCTGAGAGGAAAACTCGTATATCTAGTGGGAGATTCCACGATTCGCCAGTGGATAGAATACTTCAAAACCAGTATCAACAGTATGCCTCATTTTAAACTATTCTTCAGATATATTCACTTCAGAAACTTCTTTTTCACTTCATATTTATTTTACTACTTATCATGAAACACCAAAAATGTTCACAAGACATAATTTTTCTTTTAAATGGATTCATTTATCTGACTAGAAGGGAGCCAGTGTAGAAAAGCATTAGCTCCCTTTCCCTACAGAATTTATGCTTTGATATTTACACAACACTCTCAGAAAATTATTGATGGAGCTAAAGATGATTTAAAATATTGAATTTCCCCCCTTCTACAGTTGGTACAATGATTACTTTACTAGTGGATTTTGGATTCAGTAGCCTGGGTTCGAAATTTGATTTCACATCCTATTTTGGTGACTGGATAAGTTACAAAACCATTTCATTCCAGTTTCCTCCTCTATCAACTGGAGATAAAAGAGTACTCACCTGGTAAAATGAGATGATATATATGGTGTATTTAGAATACTGTCTGTTACAAAATAAGTTCTCCTATTGTCACTGTTATCATTATCTGATATTAGGAAAGATTTTGCATCTGGTAGGCACAATGGTTAAGTCTAACAGACCTAGTCTGTGCCACTTAGAAACAATAACCTTGGGCATCTTTTTTATTTTCTCTACCCCAATTTCCTCATTCATCAACTAAAAATAGTAATTGTATATGCTGTTGATTTTGAAGATGAAATAAGGTAATGGACATAAAGCATTTAACACATTATAAGACACACAGGCACATAGAAAATGCTCAAAAAGCAAGAGCAATGATTTTCATTAGTGTCAAGGTTAGGGTTAGAATCCAGTTGTGAGAATCCTAGTCAATTTCCCCTGTTTACTAAACCCAAGAGTGCAACAGTAACAACTCAGAATCAATTAATAGATTTAGCAATCCTACATAAAAAAAAAATTACTACCCATCCCTCTATGTCTCTGAGCCTCAGCTCTTATGACTAACAATAATCCAGAGGCTGTGACTCCATCTTGGCCCTTCTGTTCCAGGCCACTCTTGTGATCTCCAACTCAGAAAGAAATCTTGTCCTCTCAATAAAAATGGGAAAATCAGTAGGGATTGGGCTGCAAGTTACAAGAATTCTCAACAGGGAAGAGTTTTCAATTGTGACCTCTAGAAAGGTCATTGAACTCCTTTGGACCTCAGTTTTCTCAGCTACAAAATGAATGGTCTAGGGATACCCCTTCAGCATCACATTTTATAATGGTGAGCCTCTTATTACTGAGTTATTGAAAGGGTAGTTTCAATACCTCAGTATTAAAGGGTAATAAAAAGTAATAAAGGGTAGTTATATCTACCCTCTGCAGTTTCTCTTGTAAATTGTGGTAGGAAAATGTTTTGTGCATTTTGTTAAAAGTTAAATTCTATGGTCAGAGTGTGCTTTGGAGAAGAAAACTAAAGTAAATTGGAGGCAGACTGAAGAAAATACTTCTGCCATTTTTCTCAAAATAATCCTCCAGCATCTCTGTTTTCCAACCTCACTGCCATAAGACTTCAAATTTAGCCCTTTATTTCTAAGATCATACATGTTATAATGCATTAATAATCATTGACTATACATTTTCCTCAGAAGTTCTAGCTACAAATAATTTGGACTGGATAATCTGATAAAGATCTAATTAAAATGATGAAGAATGGAAGAGCTTCATCTTATTCTGTACATATGAGATTATTTTCAAAAAAAGTCAAGATTAGGTAGACCATGTTCACAAGAATTGGGGGTAACTTTAATCTTGCATTCAGATTTCATCACAAACTAATCTTGAACAGGTGATTTTCGATTTTCTCTCTTACTTTTCTATAACATGGCAATTTAAAAAATACAAAAGCATCTTTGAGGTAAATTATCAGTTCAAAGAAATGGTTTATAAACTGTACAGTACTTGACAAATGGGTGGTAATACGCTATTATACCATAAAATGTACCCAGTACCATTCCATGCACATGGAAGAAAACACAAAAGAATAGAGAAATTTGAAGAGTGGTTGAGGAATTAGATTCACTTATTTTCTTTATGTTATTTTATTTATTTATTCATTCATTCATTGTGTGTGGTACTACCAATTAAAACCAGGGCCTCACACACATTAGGCAAGTGCTCTGCCACTGAGCTATGTCTCCAGTCCTACATTTTTCTTTTAATGTAAATAAAATCAAGTAAAACTATCCTCAAATGAGCTTAGTTTATAGTTTATAAGGTCTATAAAAATACTTACAAAACTGGTCAAATCATCCTCCAATGAAGTTACCTCAATGTCTTAACATTTCTAGTCCCAGCCAATCTGATGTATATAAGAAGGCATACATACAAATCTCTTAAATTTGTACAACAATTTTAATTTTTCAAATATTTCCAAAATTATCACTTCAGTTAAGTCTATAATAAATCATACATGATTAACCTATTTAATTCTAAAAAACAAATCTTCTCTCCTACCTTTAAGACTAATCAATCTTTATAATGTTATTCTTCTTTCATTTTGGGATTGCCGATTTGTCATCAACACTGAAGTCAGTAGATCTACATGAATCTGGAAAACTGCAACACCAATTTGCTGTGGACTTGGATAGGAATATTAACATCCAATGGCAAAAACATGGTTACCCTTTGATTGGCTCAATGGTCTATTCAGTCAAAGAGATTGAGTACATTGCCCGGGCCATTGACAGAACTGGAGGAGATAAAAATACTGTCATTGTAATTTCTCTGGGGCAGCATTTCAGACCCTTTCCCCTTGATGTCTTCATCCGAAGGGCCCTCGGTGTCCACAAAGCTGTTCAGCGTCTTCTTCTGAGAAGCCCTGATACTATGGTTATCATCAAGACAGAAAACACCAGGGAGATGCACAGTGATGTGGAAAGATTTAGTGACTTTCATGGTTACATTCAATATCTTGTTATAAAGGACATTTTCCAGGATCTCAATGTGGGTATTATTGATGCCTGGGATATAACAATTGCATATGGCTCAAATGAAGTCCATCCACCTCAATATGTTATTAGAAGTCAAATCAATATATTCTTAAACTATATTTGCTAGCTTGCACATATCTCTGAAAATCATTCATTTAATTAAAAAAGATTTGTTAAGTGTGTGCTAGGATACCAGGTGCTGAGTTGCTCTAACTCCCTTTTACACTGAGAAGATTGTCTGCACTATGGCTGATATGGATCTAGCAGTTGTGCCAGGTAAGGTATATTTAATCTAAACTTCCACTAAAAAAATGAAACCAAGAATAGTCATGAAAAGGTCCTATACTTCCAGACAGAGCCAGGCAGTTCTTCATCAATGTAATCTATGATACCTATGGGTAAAACTTCTTTTCTCTAATGCTTCAAAATTCAGAGCAATAAAATAGTTGTTAAATAAATATATGGAAAAAGCAGTCTCATTTCCTTATTTTATTACTATAGACAGGCTCAAGATGGTTTCCAAATGAGAAGAGAGGTCTGTATGGACAGAGGAGAAGCAAAATTCTAAGCAAGGACCCTGGTTCCAGAAACCTCTGACTTTCCTTTCCCAGTTAGGAGCTCTCATTGCTATTCTATAAACTGATTCTATAGCATTCAGCAACCAGGACTATAGACTAACACAGGTAAAGCTAGTGTACTAGAGTTCAAGGAGCTGGTGGTAATTTTAGGACTTTGAGTAAATCAGATCAGCTCTCTAGGTTTCTGTTTCCCAAAGGAAGGGATCAGTCTGTGACTTATGATCTGAGAACCTTGCTCTGTGGACCTCTGGGTGACAAAGGTGGCCTTTTATATACTACCTTGAGAGGCAGGAATCAGGAGAGGTGCCTGGTGGGTAAGAAACACAAGTTCTAGCACGACTCCTTCAGCCAGAACATCAACCACTCTTGCCTATATGTATAACCCGCTTCTGAGTGAGCCTTTGGCTTCAAAAAATGTTCCACTACTTAAAACATGTTTGAATGCCATTATACAGATAATCAATAACATTGGTTTCTATAATTTACATATGCAGATTAACATTTTAATCACTCTTGTTTGCAATTTAATAGGTCTTCCCCAAACTTGACCAAAAAGGAATGATTTATATCAGAATTTCAGTTGAACATGGAAATGTAATTATCATAAAGTGAATTGGCATTACAGTCTTCCTTAATTTTGTGCTCTTTATCAAGCCCTAGATACCACAGAACCCTGAACTACTCTTACTGCATCAGGAAAAAACTAATTATTAATATGACATCTTAAATCTGTTTTTCCAGGTTCCCTTGGGCAGAGGTCATACATTTTCTATTTATTTGCCAAAAAAACCTACACACATGCACAGTTCAGTACCCAGTATACATTCAATGGTCAAAAAATATTTAATAAATCCAGCCACTGTTGTAGACCTGGGGATATGGATACCATGGTCAAAAAGGCATAGGAAATATATATCATAGAAAACTTAACATTCTAATAAAAGTAAAAGATAATAAGCCAAAAAACAAAGATACAAAATAGTATCATAATAATCATGAAATATTTCCATAATTTACAGTAAACTCATATAATAAAGCAAAGCTTATGATAAGGTAATGTGATACAGTGTCCTGTGGTGGTGATGGAGTTAGAGAAGCATCTTAGAGAAACATTTCATGTAGGATCAAAGTAATAGAAAGGAGCCCATCATGAGACAAATTGAGAAAGAGATCCTAGAGAAAGAGTGGTAAGTGGAAACCCCTTAAGAATGGTCATATTAGGTTCGTATAAAGAACAGAAGGAAGCCACTATGTTTAGAGTATTGTCAATGAGGGCAATGGAGAGAGAGGAGAAATCATCCAGGAAACTGGGGGCTAAATCTTGTATGGCAAAGAATCTGAACTTTATTCTAATTACTGTGGCTGAGTAGTTTACAGCAGAAGGAAGCAGGGAGGGAAAAGAAAAACTAGAGAGGGAAGAGGAGATGGAGAAAGAATGCAAACTTCCAAAACAATAGAGGGAGGCAAATAAACATAGAAAATCATCAAAAAATGAGAAGAGGGCCTGGGATTTAGCTCAGTGGTGCTGCTGTCTGCCTCACAAGTGCAAGATCCTGAGTTTGATCCCTGGTACCAAAAATAAAAAAAAATAAATAAAAATGAGAAAAGAAGCCTCCTCCTGGAAAAACTATTTGTAAGAGACTATCTGATAAAGGACAATTATCCAAAATGCAGAAAGAATTTTCAAAACTTAACAGTAAGAAAATAACAAGTTTAAAATAAGCAGGAGATCTGAACAAACACCTTACAAAATAATACAAACAGATGCCAAGTAAGCATTTGAAAAGATACTTAACAGCATATAGGCCTAAAGAATTGCAAGTTAAAACAACAAGAAGATTGCACAATGTACTGATTAAAATGGCAAATATCCAAAACACTGACAAAACCTTGTTTATTTCTGGTGATGTTATGTCTTAAAACTAGATGTTCTTTCAAAGCCTCATGCACTCATAGGTGAGATTTTTTGGAGCTGGCTGGATCTAGGGCCTGTGGTACTGGGATTAAGGGTGTGTAGTACTAAATTAGTCCACTGATTGGAATTAGCATAGTTCTGAGTGGCATTTCCAAAAAGGCTGGTACCCTGGATGGGATAAAAAGGAAAGGCAGGCTGGCTGCTGCTGCTGCTGCTGCTGCTACTCCTTGCTTCCTTCCGCCTGCCACCCCATGAACTATTTCTCATCTGTGATGCCCCTCTGCTATGCTGCTCTGCCTTTGGAGTGAACTGACTATGGACTGAAACCTCTACTAACTGTGAGCTGAAATAAACCTTTTCTCCTTTAACTTTGGGTGTCATGGTATTTTGTCCCAGAAATGACAAAAGTAACTAAGACTAGTGAGAATGGAAAGTAGTATGACTACTTAAAGATAGTTTAGCAGATTCTTGCCATGTGATCCAGCAATCATAGTCCTGCTATTTGTCAAAGGAGATGAAACACATTTACATAAAACCTGTCTGGATATGTTTTTAGCACCTTTATCCATAATTGCTAAAACTTGCCATCAGCAAAGACATCCCTCAGTAGGCAAATGGATAAACTTGTACATCCAGACAACAGAATATTGTTCTCACACTAAAAAGAAATCAGCAAGGAATGTGGGGGTGGGGAGAAGATAGGGCAATGGAAAAACTTTTGGGTGATCTGGGAACCAACAGGGAAGCAAAAGGAAACCTAAATAGCATATAGATTTGGAAAAGCAATGCAGAGAATACAGAGTAATTTATACCTACAACTCCAGATCCTTGACTGGGGCCAGGAAACACAGTTTGCAAGCATTAAGTGCTGGGGATTGACCCAGGTACTAGAAACATGATAGGAGAGTGCTATGTCACTGAGCTATACTCTAAACAGAATTGAGAGAAATTTCACCTTAGTCCAGCCACAACACACTCCCACTCAATCAGGGTGGCTACATCAACCTAAATAATAGGAGAAATAAAAGCCCCCAGCCAAGGAACAGGCCCCAAGTAGGCATAACTAGAGAAGGATTGAAGTCTTGCTTCTGGAATTTTTATCTACATAATAAAAGCAAGGAGAAAAAAATTTTTTTTGCACGTACCATACCCACAAATGATCCTAGCACAAGACTCTAAGAACCTTAGTGGAAGATTTTTAGACCTGAAAAATTCAGCAAAATATCAGAATACAAAATCAACACACAAAACTCAGTAGCTTTTCTATACACCAATAAAGAACTCATTGAGAAAAGGAATCAGAAAAATAATTTCATTCCATACAGCTTTAAAAATAAAACCTAGGAGTAAGCCTAGCCAAAAAGGTAAAAGACGTCTACAAATGAAAATTACAAAATAATAAGGGAAGACATTGTAGAAGAGATTATAAGATAAAAACTCTCCTATGTTTATGTATTGGGAGAATTAATATCATTAAAATGGCCATATTACCAAAAGCAACTGGATTCAATGCAATATCCATTAAAATATCAATGATATTCTTCACAGAACTAAAAAAATGTAACCCTAAAATTCATATGAAAACAAAACAAACAAATAAACAAAAAAAACCACACAAAGCAGTCCTAAGCAAAAAGAGCCCACATCCTGATAGCTTCACTACTGAATTCTACAAGACATTTAGAGAAGAACTATTGCCACTACTCTTTAAACTCTTCAATGAAATTGAAAGGGAAGCAATACATCTGAATTCATTCCTGGAAGCAAGTGTTACTTTGACTCCAAAAGCAGAAAACAACCCAACCAAAAACGAGAACTACTGTTGGGCCAGGGATTTAGCTCAGTGGTTTGCCCCCTGCCTCACAAGCACAAGGTCCCAAGTTCAATCCCCAGCACCAAAAAAAAAAGCATACAAAAAAAAAG